GACCCGCGGCGCTTCCAGATCAGCGCGGCGGGTCCGGCCCGGGTCCTCCGCAGCTTTGTTCTGCGTCTCCCTAGTCTGCTGGCTCCCCCAGCAGACCAGGGAGACGGGGAGCAGCTCCAGTCCTCCGGGGCGAGAAAATCCCCGTTCGTAACTGCGGATCCGACGCAAGTCAGATCCGCGTAACTCGGGGACTGCCTGTACAAGAAATCTCCCAACTGGAAATCTCCCCTTCAGTCCCAAGGCACATATTAGCTAGAATTTTCAAATAATATTTAAGTTTCAAGCTATTTAAGAACTCTCCTCACGTTTATATAAGCAAACAATTTCTGCTAGTCATTTTTAATGAACAAATTTCAGTTTTAGCACTATTTCCCCTCTCTGATGCTTGTTAAATACTAGGGATGTTAAGTATTAATTAATTAACTAATTCAGTAGTTGATGGAAATTCCATCGACTACTCAATCAGCCAATGGGGGGAGGGTGCACACCCACAGGTTTTTACAACATTTTAAGTGCAGGGCCCCAGCAGGTTTAGCTTCCGGAGATGGCATGAGCTGGGACTGAATAATCCCATCTTGTGCCACCCCCACGATCCCAGTGGCTCTGCCTCCCCTATTTCCCTCCCCCACACTCCAGAGATGGTGCTGGGGGAGTTTAAAAAAAAATAAAAAAAAAAAAACAGCTTTTAAGTTGGCTTCCCCCAGTACTGGCTCCTGCTTTCCTCCCCCCTTGCTGCCTCTGATAGAGAGGCAGTAGGGGAAAGCAACTAGTCACTTACATCCCTATTAAATACATTATTCTTCCACGATAGCTGGTTTTTTGCTTTAGACAGTTCACAAGTGACTTGAGAGTACAATCTAAAATTGCCTTTATAAATGAAAGAGAAAGAATATAAGCTGGTAAGTTTTCCTTTGAAGAATGCTTTTAAGTGAAGTTTCGCTGTGCACTTAGTTTAGTCGCACCCATCTTGAAGATTTCCAGAATTACTGACAAATATCACTTTGTTGACAGAACTTTATTTTCAAAAAGGTCCCCACCATAATGAGCAACTTTCTCTCCAGCAAAAGCAGCAGCCAGAATAGTAAAATAGGATGTAAAAATGTTCCCTGGGAGCCTGTGACTGAGTGTTTAGTGATACACTAACTTGGTTTGCTAGAAATCGGGCTGGAAAAATCTTTATTCTATTCTTGTTTTGCTGGCAGCTTGCAGTTGTTAACAAAAGAGTTGTGCAATGGTGCCTGTTACAGATGGAGAGGAAGTTTCCTTTCCAAAAGGATGCAGCATGGCAAACTACCATGGCTAGGATTAAACCAAGAGGAAACCACTTAATGCTTGCAGATGAAGCAGAATTCTGTTCAGTTCCTTTCAATTTAACCCTATTGAACCTAATAAACTATGGCCACATCTATACTTACCCCCAGACTGGTCTTGATGTTCTGGTGTCCGATTTAGCGGGTCTAGTAAAGACCTAGGTGTTGGTATTCTTACTCCCTGTGAGGAATAAGGGAAATCAATGGGACCATTTCTCCCATCAACCTCCCACTGTGAGGATAGCATCCAAGTTCAAATCAAAGTACATTGGTTCCAACTACGCAATTAACGAAGCTGGAGTTGTGTATCTGGATTCAAACTTCCAAGTTAGTATAGACATGATCTAAGAGCAGTTTTCCCACTCCATACTCAACATCACCCAAGTATCTGGATTGCTTCTGAATTGGAATATAAAGCAGATCAGTGGACGAAACTCTCTTTGAACCAGCAGTAGGAGTCTTTACCCTAAATGGGCTGGCAGTTTTTATTAATGTATTCTAACCAATCATCTACATTTCTCATTTCCTCCAAAATACTTTCACAAATTGTTGACTGTTCCCAGACACTTGCTCTTAATGGAAGCTGAAGATCTAGTGTTCATAACTGAGCACTAGCTTTTCTATGTGTATCCAAAAAATTGCTTCACAACTCAGGTTTTAACTATTGTTACCCCTTTCTGACCTAAGTTGAAGGCCTTGTAGGTTGTTTTCTTTCAGAAGAGAAACTCATGAGAGTCATTTATCCAATCCTATTTACAGAAAAATTACAAGTCACATTTTCCTGATCACAGGAGTAATGTGACAAAAGAAAGTTTAGGGCCCACAGCTCCCAATTTCTTTCAACCAATACAGCACCCAGAGGTGCAGCTTTTACTATACAAACATGCTACCAGTACTTTCATGACTATAGTGCTTCATTTCTGCCTTCTCCCTCACCATCTCTAATCTTTCCTTTCCCATACACTAAAACTAACAGTTCCAATCAATCAATGCTCTACCCTCTGTGTTTGGTGTAGCAGTCCCCAGGAAAATCCCTTGGGCAGAACATGGTTCAGCTTTTTCTCAAGCCTTGCCATATGGCCACATTTCAGGTGGTACTCCTACTGTTTCAGCTACCTGGTTACATAAAATAACTCAATGGCTTTTTACACTCATCAGTGAAATTGTGACTATCAATCACATACCCCCCAATCCCAGCATCAAAGTTTAACCAAACTCTTTGACACAGTGCCACTAACTGGAATGAACAAGGATTATTCTCCAACCTGACCATACTACCAGTCCTACTGTCATCTTCTACCTAATCATTTCAATTTAATTTGATAGCTTAGTCTCTAATTTAGATGTCGGATCTTTACCTGAAAAAGTAACACAAAAGAAACTTGACAGGGAATTTAAAGAGAAAAGGGCACAGAGGACATTAAAAATACAGTAAAAATTAGACATGCAAGCTTCCTTCTCATTTTGTAAAATAATTCTTTTTACTGCTGTGGACTAGGGATGTAAGAAATTAATTGACTACGTTATAAGCAAATGCTTATCAGGTAGTCGAGTAGGAATTCAACTAGTAGCGTCCTCCCCTTGCTGTCTCTATCAGAGCAAGGCAGCAAGGGCAGGGGAAACCCAAGCCGGTGCTGGGGGAGCTAGCTTAAAAGCCGGTTCCCCCAGCACCGTCTCTGTGGGGGGCAGGAGGCAGCGGGGAAAAGGCACAAAGGGGATTGAAACAGTCCCACTTGTACTGGTTCGCCTGCTGCTCCTCTCCCTTTGAAATGTACAAGGGCCGCCTACAGCTCTTGTACATTTCCAAAGAAAAGAGGCACAGTGGGGAACCCATGCCAGCAGGGACTGAAGCAGTCCCCACTGGTACAGGTTCCTACTGCCTCTCTCCCTTTGAAATGTACAAGAGTGGCAGGTGACTCTTGTACATTTCAAAGGGCAAGACATAGCAAGATCGTGAGTGTTCCACTTATCGAAAAATCAAATAGTCAATGAAAATTCCACCAACTACACGATTCACTGCTTAATCAAAATTTTACACTCTTATTGTGGACAATTCCCTTTGTTAATTAGTGTAACTGCAGCACAGCTTCTCGACGTATCCATTAAACAGGAATTAGCTATTACAAGAACATCAGAATGCCCACATTTAATCAGATCATCAATAGTCCATCTAGCTCAGGAGTGATTAGGACCACATGCTTCACAAAGTTGGTAACAGCTAATAATTTAGATCCCATCATTTTGTATATATACTGTTAGGAATATTTTCCCCCCCCATGGTGCATTACTTTGCAGTTTTCAACATTGAATTTCATCTGCTATGTTGTTACTCAGTCACCCAGTTCTGAGAGGTCCCTTTGTAACTCTTCTCAGTTCAATTTGGATTTAGTCATATTAAGTAATTTTGGATAGTCTGCAAGTTTTACCATTTTATTGTTAACCCTTTTTCCAGATTGAGATCAGTGCTGTTCAGCATATTCATAAATTAAAATCCTAGGATAACCCCTCTATTTATCTCTCTCCATTATGGCAACAGATAAAGGGGGGAGGGGAAGATAGGAATAAATTAACAATTTACTAATCCACGAGAAGACATTCCCTCTTACCCCATAACTACTGACTTTAAGTGTCTCTGCTAAGGGACCCATCAAAAGCTTTCTGAAAGTCCAAAACTAACTGGATTTTGCTAGCCCAACCATGTTTAAGAGGTGGGAGAGGGGGGGTTCTCCACATATCTGACAAAGTTATCCTGGCAAAACTGTAGCATAAGATCTGCCCTGATATTTTACTGCACCAGAGAAGTAAAAATATCCAGTCTCAGTGTCAAACTAGAGGCACTTAAAAGTTTGTTCTTTGCTGTGAATATTCCCCCTCTTCCCCCATCAAAGTGATATCTTCCACAATGGCAATATCCTTCCTGAACTAGAGTGATTCAGCTTTGCAGATGTTGATGCATACCACTTTGCCAGCAATGCACACCATCCATGCATACACTTACGATAAGCATAATAAGGCAGAACGTAATATGTTGTGCATAATATTTCCGATAAACTACAAATAATTATTTCAGCAGCAGTGAAAGTGGCTACCTTTTTGTAGGCATGACTCACAAGATACTTAGGAATGCAAA